ACCATCTCCTCCGGAATAGAGTATCGCATTTGTCCTTGAGCAACATATAAAAACGAAAGGATAATTATCCAGAGTGATAATTGCCTCTTAGTATTGTCGGATTTTTCTCTGAATGCCATCTTCTCCTTCACGTTTTGCTATTAAAATCACACGAATGTTTTATATTTCGAGGAAAACCATCCAGCGAAAACAACACTATGAACAAAATAGTATTTTTATAACATATTATTTCCCTGCCGACTCCCTAGATATCCAATCACTTCTGAGCCGTTTTCTCCACTCTCTTTCTCCTGAAATCCACTGGCATTATGCAGACACTGCGTATAGCTCTGTATGTAACGTGCAGTAACAAGGGAGGCGCTCCTGAAATTTACTCCAGCGCAGCTCGCCTGCTTAACCAACAGCGGCCCTTACAGTCCTGCGCGAGAAACACCGGCTCGCGCTTCTCGGCTCAACATTTCCTGTCTTGTGGGGTGATGTGAAAACGGAATGCAGTCTAACATCTGAATCATTTTATTTTTATTTCAGACATTATAACTCATTACATGTGTATAGGAAGGTGTATGTAATGATAAATAGTAAATCTACAGCCTTTAAAAAAAAAAAAACTCAATATCTTTTTTTAAGTACTAATAATGCATAATATCCGAAATAGGTCCATGTTAAAAGAGTTACCTTCCAAAAGCCAATAATGGCACCTTAAAATATAAATCTAATGCGCTCTTCCTTATAAATTCATTGTATTCAACACTAACATCGCATTATACATTTTACAGTTTGTAGCCTGTGGTTGAGTGAAGTTCTGCATGAAAATGTTCTTATTCCTTTCTTTTGTGCGATTTCAACAAGGATACAAAGTCTGCAACAAATCCGTATAATAAGTCATTATAGTGAATGCCAGAGAGCCACATGAGTGAACATGAGAAATTAAAAGAAAATGTGTAATGAAAATAAAATGTAAATGACAAGTGGTTATTTTAGATTTCTTGTACATCTGTCTTAAAATGTAAGGGATACTACAGCTTGGTTGGGGTGGTGGGGCGGCTCGCGGTGGGTGCCGGAAAATTTCCCTTATTTTCAAATCCAAAACTTGAAAGGTATGTAACTCTATAATGACAGAGTTGCATTTGCCATTAAGATAAAATGCAAAAAAAAAAGATAAAGAAAATTCAGCTACGCTTTGAAATATGTCACAAATCAGGAAGGTTTAATTTAACTAATTAAAATACTTATGATAATGAAAAATCAGATATTCAATAATTTTATATAAGAGAAGAACAAGGCAACAATAACAAATATGTATATAATAATATATACCTTTAAATTAATACTAAGTTGCGTACTTACCCAATCTGACTCATCCAAGGCATTTTTGTAATTTTGTGCGCGCTTCATTGTCTCCGCCGAAACTCGATCCTCCATCAAATCGCTTTGGCAATTAGGTCTGACAAACTTACAGTCACTCTTCCTGGAGTCAGT